TTGATCACGTGGTGCCCTCCTTCACGCCCAACAAGAAGTAAGTGACCCTCAGATGAATAAATTTTACACATCCTTGTAGTCTATTATGTTTGTTTCTCTTGGTCATTACTTAAGAGTGAAGGTGAGTGATGGCCAGGGTGTGGTGCTGTAGCTCGTCCTAGTTTATCTTATTACGTGTGGCTGCAGGAGTGGCGTGACCTTGGTGTATGGTAGGTATTACAGGTCGTTGGAGCTCATTAACCGTGATACCTTGCAGGAGGGCGTGAAGAGGTGAGGGAGCTCGGTGTATGGCCCACCTCCCAGGGTGGTCCTGTGAGGAGGTGCCCGTCACCCTGGATAACGATTGAAATTCCTCCACTTTACAGATTGACTTCGATAATAATTGAAAGTGATGCCTTGTTAACTGTTCATGACGTGCGTGAACCTGTGTAACTCTGCCTCACACGTAATGCTTTGACATGTGTGTTTGACCATATATTGCCCATGGGTAGGGAAGGTGACGGTGGGAAGGAAAACTGGGGTACGTACTCAGGAAGTTTGCTACTCAGAGAGGGTGTGGTTGAAGGCAACAAGGAGCGTGAGCCGTAAACAGTGGTCAGTGTTCTGGGATGGAAGGCAGCTGCTGCTGTGGTGGTGGGCGGGGCCAAGAAGGAGAACGGGGAGGATCTAAGAGGCCAGGGGGCGGGGCCAGGGTGTGGGCGAGGTCGCGGTCTGTGCGCGCAGGAGTGGAACAGTCGCCCGCGTGCCTCACCAGTGATCAGTCAGCCCTCCCTGTTGCTGCTACCCGGCCATCACCACAACACCGCCCGGCCATGGCTCTCACCACGCTGGTTCTCTGCTTAGCATTCTTCGCTCAAGGTACAGTGCCGGGCCTCCACACATGATCTCCTCTTACCGCTGGCATCTGACGTGATAACTCCCAGTTGAATAAGCATCTTTTGTATGGTCCTCAAAATGAACTATACTTGAACTTTGGGTATTATACAATGAATGAGCGTCTTTTATGTTCCTACAATGACTTACTACATTATATACTGCGGGTAGGGATGCACTAGTGGCTGTTACCGGCCACTTAATAGTATTCTTGTTGCAGCGACTGTAGTGTTATTGTGCCCCTCCTCCTCCTCCCTGCTGGGTACTGGTATAGTCTGCCCGACCATGTGATACTCTCCCTCACTGTCACTGCTCGGCCGTGTGTGTGTGTATGTGCGCGTTTGTGTGTGTTACTCCATACCATGTCACTCTTTCCCTCTCACTCCCGACCATGTGTCACTCTCCCTCTCCTCACTCCCGACCATGTGTCACTCTCCCTCTCACCCCCGACCATGTGTCACTCTCCTCTCACTCCCTGACCATGTGTCACTCTCCCTCTCACTCCCGACCAGTGTCACTCTCCTCCTCACTTCCGACCATGTGTCACTCTCCTCTCACTCCTGACCATGTGTCACTCTCCTCCCTCCGACCATGTGTCACTCTCCCTCTCACTTCCGACCATGTCACTCTCCCTCTCACTCCTGACCATGTGTCACCTCTCTCCCTGACCTCTCACTCCCGACTATGTGTCACTCTCCTCACTCCCGACCATGTGTCACTCTCCCTCTCACTCCCGACCATGTGTCACTCTCCCTCCTCCCGACCATGTGGTGTCACTCCCGACCACTCCTCCCTCTCTGCCATGTGTGTCACTCTCCCTCTCACTCTCCTCTCCCTCCGACCATGTGTCACTCTCTCTCACTTCCACATGTGTCCTCTCTCACTCCCGACCATGTGTCACTCTCCCTCTCCCTCCCGACCATGTGTCACTCTCCCTCTCACTCCCGACCATGTGTCACTCTCCCTCTCCCTCCCGACCATGTGTCACTCTCCCTCTCACTTCCGACCATGTGTCACACTCACTCATTCTCCCACAATTTTTTTCCTGTTATATTTTCTTCTTTTTTCTCGTTTTTTATTCCCATTTGGTCAATTGTTATTAATTTGTTTGCTCATTAGTTATTCATTATCTATTTTATTTATTTTATATTTTTTGTATCAGCTTTATTCATGATTTTTGTTTTTACTGCTTCACTCACTCACTCACTCACTGACGGAGAACCTTCTATTGCCGCGGTGAAATAGTAATTGTGTTCCCCCATATTATCTTTTTATCGCCTGTCGCCGCTTCCTTCTCTTAGTTTATCACACCTTGCCACTATCTTCAATCTCTAAATGAATAAAATCTTCCTTATCTTAATCTTACATTCTTCTCTCCCCCCCCCCACTGCCCCACCTTCGTTATCGCATATACACATCCTCTTCCTCCTCCTCCTCCTCTTACTACTACTATCGCCTGTCTCCTCCTTCTTCTTCTTCTTCTTCTTCTTCTTCTTCTTCTTCTTCTTCTTCTTCTTCTTCTTCTTCTTCTCCTCTCTCCTCATTCTCTTCTTCCTGTCTTCCTCCTCTTACTTTCCTCCTGTTCTCCTTCTCTTCTTCTTCTCCTCCTCTTTTCCGCACCATCACTTCCGAATCGTAGGCTGGTAACGTGTTGTGTGAGTGTGTTTTTTGAGTGTGCGAGTGTGTTTTTTGGGTGTGTGACTACGTTTATTGAGTATGTGACAGTGTTTTTGAGTAGAGTGTGTGAGTGCTTATAATTGTGATTGCTTGTAAATGCACATATGAGTAGACTAACAGTTCACTTTGTCACGTGTGTGTGATTTGATTTGATTTTGCCGCTTACAGCGGCTACTTTATTGTGCACCCCACACTCATCCTGTGAGCGGTAGCGCAAAAGGATTACAGAGTAGGGTTTACAAAGGGTCATAATAATTAACCCCCGTTGTCAGGATATTATGGCACTGAATGTTACACAGTATTTCATTTACATTATTTGTTTAGTTCTATACATAAAGGGTAACTTATTCACAAATGCGTGAGTACAGGCGTGTGAGGCAGTATGTCTGGCCTCACACTTTGTTATTCACATTTACGTGAGAGGTATTCAAGCACATTGCGTATTTGGTTCTGTACATGAGAATTGATATAGTTACTAAGTGCAAAAAAGTGGATACAATCTTAATATGTCGGCTGTCTTGCTAGATAGATTCATGGATGATAGAGAGTGGTAGTAACTCTCGACAGGAGCTGCCATGCACAGGCCAACCGGCCTATTGCAGACTCCTTATTTTCTTATGTTCTTATGTTCTTATTAGAGATGAAGTGTTGTGCCATTTCACACACAGTGTGCTTGGACCTGTCCCTAAAAGGTTCTATCTTCACACAGTCGAGGACATAGTGTTCAAGTGTGTGGCCATATGTCTGGCCACACACTTTACATTTAGTTTTGTTTACATCTGCTTGAGGAACATACTGCCAAAGGTACTTATATCCTAACCTTAATCTAGCGGTTACAACATCTTGTAATCTAGTGATCTTGTTACTTGCTCCAAATACATGTTTCACTTGATACATCTCATCATGGTAACCTATGGATCGACTAGTGCCTGTTTGCACTTGTCTACTTGCGTCAAACTCATCAATAAGTTCTTTCCTAATTACAGTTTTAAAAGTTCTTTTTGACAGACCCAAATTGTATTCAACGGTGTCTTTGTTAGACGTGAGTTTGGCGAGGGCATCAACTCTGTCATGTGTGTGTGTGTGTGTGTGTGTACATATGTGTGTGTGTGTGGGGAGTATATAAGCGAGCACACATATCGGTATCGGCCACGTAACATACATGAATTAGCGGTGATTTAATATGCGTCTCTGCACTACGCATTATACGCGTTCCATCGAGAGAGGAGAAATTAGCCCCGCGTAAAATAAATTGTTACCCAAGGCGAATAAATATATAGAGGCGAATAAACAGATACAGGCGAATGATCAGATATTGGCGAATAAACCGATACCGGCGAATAAACACACGCAGGCGAATATAGCCATGGGTAATATTATCACGAGTTATCTTAGCGATCGACTTAAATTCCCCCACACACCCACACCACCACACACCCCTACCCCCACACACCCATACCCCGACACCCCACACCACACACCCCTACACACCCACACCACACACCCCTACACACCCACACCACACACCCCTACACCACACACCCCTACACACCCACACCACACACACCCATACCACGCCCACACATCCCTCCACAGTGACATAATTCTAATAAGAGCTATAATAATTATGCTCTGCGCTTCATAATTCTAATACACGTAGGAATTAATTTACTGGGAATCACCTGAAGAATATTCACCCATAGCTTATTTCACTTGCAGATTAAGATTAACCTTTAGTCCTAACGCTAGGTTAGTGTTGGTTTGGTTGAGGTTAGGTTAGTGTTGGGTTAAGTGTTGGGTGGTGTGGTTAGGTTAGGTTAGTGTTGGTTTGGTTGAGATTAGGTTAGGTTAGTGTTTGGACTCATTAGGTTAGTGTTAGGTTGGTTGAGGTTAGGTTAGGTTAGCGTGGTTTAATCTTTAAGAGGTGAAATAAACTATAGCTGGAGATTCTTCAGACGAACCCTTGTTTGTGTGAGATAAAATGAAGAACAAAAAAACAAGGAAAAACAAAAACAAAACAAGGAAAAAACAAGGACAAAAAGGAAAAACAAAAACAAAATGGCTCTTATCTCCTGGAGCGCGACGGAGCGGGTAATTTCATGTGTTTTCATTAATAGATTATAAGCCTTCGTGTTTTCCTGTCCAGATAACTTATACGAATGATCTTAGAGGGTGTGGTGGTTATGTACGTGGTGGTGTAATGTACGTGGCGGTGTTAGGTACGTAACGCTGTAATGTGCATGGCGGTGTTATGTGCGTGACGAGGAAATGAACGAATGTTTATTGTTGGTGACTGGTACAGTACACCAACAATACACAGTACACGTCGCTGTGTTTACACCCACGTGAAAATTAAATGTATCGTCTATTCATACGTGTCTCCCGAGTGATACATTATCCCAAACACGTGTCACCCAATACCTACGTGGCTGTGAGACGTGTTAGCAGTCATGTGTCTCAATCAGCTGGCCAAGGTAGTCGGAACCTTGTAATTACACTGCCTGCTTGTTGTTATGCATGACATCACCTGAACACACCAGTTATTATGTTCTGTTCTCCAGGATATAATACAACCTTACCCTGATGTTTGTATATATATATATATATATATATATATATATATATATATATATATATATATATATATATATATATATATATATATATATATATATATATATATCATGTAGATCCACAATGAAAACGTGGATAAGATATATATTAATTGATGTATTTTAAAAATCCAATCTCCCGATATTTATATAAAGAATAATTTACATCATACCTCCCTGATGTATGTATGTTCAGTATGTATGTAAGTGTATATAAATTATCTATTAAAATATGAATCGCCCTGATGTATATGTATAAACAACGATTTATATGAAAGAAGTGAACATCTCCTATGTGTGTAATTATCTATTTATATTAGAAAGATTTGATGTTGTAGTTTATGAAGAAATATTAGCGAAAAGTCACCCGGCAGAGAAAGACATTAGCTATGAAACATATACATTGAAAATTAAATGGAAATATACCAACAAAGAAGCAATAAATTTGTTAGACAAGAGGATGAAAATTATAGGGTTGTTCTGACCTGACGCTGACGATAAGGAGGTGTGTTGCTGACGCCCTGCTCTGTGTTACACGGAGTCCTGACGTTTATTTACAGAGACAACTTAAGGAGATCGTCAGTATTGTCAGCACCCTGTTTGCAAATTATTTACAAAGATGCGATTTACAGAGGCTGGCATTAGAGTCACTATCAGTGTTTACAAGTTTATTTACAAAGACCTGGCAGCTAGTATCACTTGTTTATAAAGGCGCGATTTAAAAGAGCATAATGGAACTTTATGGAGGTCGTAAAGGCGTTTAACGAGATACTGAAATTCTATACTGGAAATATTGGTGTGACGGCTCGCGGCTCCACTAATATGAATGTAAAGCGACACGTCTTACCTCTGTAATTTCACTGTGACTTACCTGTGTAAACGGTAAAACATGCAATGATTAATGAGCACACACACACACACACACACACACACACACACACACACACACAGTGGACATGGATCGTGACGGTCCTTATGTACACGAAATCTGGAAAGTTAAAAATCCTAGAGAGGTTTAATGGAGTCTGTTATCAACCCGGGTAAATGCTCCGCTAATTTGGGTGGCCACTGTGCGGGGCTCACTAAACGTCAGAACACATTTCACGTTTTCTTTCCAACAAATGACTAACTGAAAATGTGTACAAAAAATGAGGACGGTGTTGTCTTGTATTACTGAGTGTTGTTGTTGTTGTTGTTTAAGTTGCGTCAGTCAGCTCTATACCTGTCGACCCTGATTATCTTCTTTTTTTTAATGACTGACTCACTCACTCACTCACTCACGAACTAATTGACTGACTGACTGACTGAATCGCTGAGAGAACTAATATTATCTTATATATCCAGTTATTATAATGCATCGTGACCAAAATACAAATGGGTTACTTTTGATTTTCTATTATAATTATGTAAAGATACAGTCTGATGGTGTACCTTAAAAAAACAAACAAACAATTCAAAATAAAAGATCATTGCGGTTAAGAATTTATCGTTAAAAGATTTAGATAAAAGGTTTTCAGAATCCTGCCTTCCTGGGGTAGAAATCAAGGGTGACGTCACACAGGAAAGACCACTGCTACGAGGACCACTGTTACGAGAACCACTGCTACGAGGACCACTGTTACGAGAACCACTGTTACGAGAACCACTGTTACGAGGACCACTGCTACGAGGACCACTGTTACGAGAACCACTGCTACGAGGACCACTGTTACGAGAACCACTGTTACGAGAACCACTGTTACGAGGACCACTGCTACGAGGACCACTGTTACGAGGACCACTGTTACGAGAACCACTGTTACGAGAACCACTGTTACGAGGACCACTGCTACGAGGACCACTGTTACGAGGACCACTGCTACGAGAACCACTGTTACGAGGACCACTGCTACGAGGACCACTGTTACGAGGTCCATAACATAACACGACAACAAACGACAACAAATTAATCCCATAATATTATAAACTTCCTGTAAGCTCTCTCTCTCTCTCTCTCTCTCTCTCTCTCTCTCTCTCTCTTATCTACTCATTCATTAGACAGACAGGCAGTTGGATGGATAGATGGATAACGAGTTCATTTGGATATTAATTTATTCATTCTATTGGTTGGTCGGTCGCAAACGTAACTACTCGTTAACATAATTACTCGCTAACATAACTACTCACTAGCGTAACTACTCGCTAACGTAACTACTCGCTAACATAACTACTCGCTAACGTAACTACTCACTAACATATCTACTCGCTAACATAACTACTCGCTAATGTAACTACTCACTAACGTAACTACTCGCTAACGTAACCAAGAGACACTGGTCTCTGCCCTCTCCTCCGGTCTGCCGCCGCTGTGAGAGACAAGAGGCGGCGCTATTGGCCTCTAGCAACCACCAATACCGAGTGCCGTGAGTGCCAGTATGTAGAGGCTGCTGGCACTGTTTACCACTCACCACCGTCAAGACTGTGACGAGTGAATATACTGGGTTAACGTTTGTGTTTTTGTGGGTACGTTGTTGGGTTTGTTTGTGTGGGTACGTGTTTTTGTGTTTGCGTGGGCACGTTGTTGGGTTTGTTTGTGTGGGTACGTATTTTTGTGTTTGCGTGGGCACGTTGTTGGGTTTGTTTGTGTGGGTACGTGTTTTTGTGTTTGCGTGGGCACGTTGTTGGGTTTGTTTGTGTGGGTACGTGTTTTTGTGTTTGCGTGGGCACGTTGTTGGGTTTGTTTGTGTGGGTACGTGTTTTTGTGTTTGCGTGGGCACGTTGTTGGGTTTGTTTGTGTGGGTACGTGTTTTTGTGTTTGCGTGGGCACGTTGTTGGGTTTGTTTATGTGGGTACATGTTTTTGTGTTTGTGTGTGTTTTTTTTGTGTTTGTGGGTACGTGTTTTGTGTTTGCGTGGGCACGTTGTTGGTTTGTTTATGTGGGTACGTGTTTTGTGTTTGCGGCACGTTGTTGGGTTTGTTTGTGTGGGTACGTTTTTGTGTTTGCGTGGGTACGTTGTTGGGTTTGTTTGTGTGGGTACGTGTTTTTGTGTTTGCGTGGGCACGTTGTTGGGTTTGTTTGTGTGGTACGTGTTTTTGTGTTTGCGGGCACGTTGTTGGGTTTGTTTGTGTGGGTACGTGTTTTTGTGTTTGCGTGGGCACGTTGTTGGGTTTGTTTAGTGGGTACGTGTTTTGTGTTTGCGTGGGTACGTTGTTGGGTTTGTTTGTGGGTACGTGTTTTGTGTTTGCGGGCACGTTGTTGGTTTGTTTTGTGGGTACGTGTTTTTGTGTTTGCGTGGCACGTTGTTGGGTTTGTTTGTGGGTGTTTTGTGTTTGCGTGACGTTGTTGGGTTTGTTTGTGGGTACGTGTTTTTGTGTTTGCTGGGTACGTTGTTGGGTTTGTTTGTGTGGGTACGTGTTTTTGTGTTTGCGTGGGCACGTTGTTGGGTTTGTTTGTGTGGGTACGTGTTTTTGTGTTTGCGTGGGCACGTTGTTGGGTTTGTTTGTGTGGGTACGTGTTTTTGTGTTTGCGTGGGCACGTTGTTGGGTTTGTTTATGTGGGTACATGTTTTTGTGTTTGTGTGTGTTTTTTTTGTGTTTGTTTTGTTTTTATGTTTTGTGGATACTTAATAAAACAGCATCAATGTGTTTATGATTTTGTTCGTAGTTTAGTTAATGTTCGGAGAATTTAATGTTCCTCTTGTGAGTATAATTTCCATCAGTCAAGTCAAGGTAGAGGTAAATATATACAGTAGATTGTTTAAAGGCAACTATCACGGTCACACCTCCCACATACCCATACCTCCCACATATCCACATCTCCGGACACCCACATCTCCCACACACCCACACCTTTCACATCTCCTCACACCCACACCTCCCACATCTCCGCACACCCACACACCCACACCTTCCGCACACCCACACCTTCTGCACACCCACACCTTCTGCACATCCACTTCTCCGCACACCCACACCTACTGCACACCCACATCTCCTGCACGCCCACACCTGCACGCCCACACTGACAACAAGAAGTAAATCGTAGCTGAGTTAGAGCATTTTTTCCTGGTTATTCATTTACTAAATATAATATTCTTGATAATCAGTGACGTCAGAGAGCATTAATGGCCTTTATGACATCACAATACGCTTATAGTTATGCCGTCAAAGTTTGTACAGCACAGATAATTTCCTATATGGCTCCGAAACTGTAATGCGATAAATGTAATTATAACCTTCATTACTTAGAGGATTTGATAATTCTTATTTTTTCTATACATCCCTCCCTCCCTCCATCCCACTTTCCCTCCCACTTTCCCTCCTACTCTCCCTCCTTCCCTTATCCCTCACTCCTCCCTCCCCTCCCTCTCTCCCTCACTCTCCTTCCTCCTCCTCCCTCCCCCTCCCTCCCTTCTCCCTCCTCACTCTCCCTCCCTCATCCTGTCCCTCCTCCTCCCTCCCTCCCTCCTTCTCTCCTCCCTCACTCTCCCTCACTCTCCCTTCCTCCTTCCTCCCTCCCTCCCCTTCCTTCTCCTCCTCCCCTCCTCCCCCCTCCTCCCTCACCTCCTCCTCCTCCTCCCTCCCTCCTTCTCCCTCACTCTCCCTCCCTTCCCTCCCTTCTCCCTCACTCTTCCTCCCTCACTTTTCCTCTCTCCTTCCCTCAAAGTTCAACAGGATGCACGAGTCATAAGCACACTGTCCGTACGTTCGTTTTAGATTTGATTTCCTCTCATTATTTTTCTTATTGCTGTTGTTGTTGTGGCGGCTTTTTGTGTTTGTTGAGTGAGTGAGAGTGTTGCTAGATCAAAGACTCTCTCGGTTAAAGTTGTTTTATAGGGTCAGGGTAGACAAGACTCCTCCCTAGGCTCTGTTATGTAGTCTTCTCTCCCTCCCTAGATCACTCTCTTAGCCTCCAGGGATTAAGTTAGGGCGAAGCTTATGATGTTTTACCGTAACTACATTAACGCCGAGTTGTCCGTACTCCGGCTCAGTCAGTCAGTCAGTCAGCCAGCCAGCCAGTCATGCAGTGTCAGTCTAGGATAGTGTGTGTGTGTGTGTGTGTTGAGGGAGGACTCAGGTAGGTGGAGCAGGTGACTACCCTCACCTGGCAGGACATCCATCTTTCTCTCCCCTTGTGGGAAGTAGTTAGTATGCTAATTAAACGACGATCTTGGCCTGGATGGGTGGGGGGATGAGGGGTGAGGGTGGGGAGGAAATCTCTTGGGCAGTGGGACGGATGGTGAGGAGGAAAGAGGGGGAAGGGTGTATTGATGTGGGGAGGAGGTCAGAATGTGTTGGTGTTGTGGAGGGGAGTGTGTGTGTTGGCGTTGGGGGGGCAGTGTGTGTTGGTGTTGTGGAGGGGGCAGTGTGTGTTGGTGTTGTGGAGGGGCAGAGTGTGTTGGTGTTGTAGAGGTCAGTGTGTGTTGGTGTTGGGGAGGGGCAGTGTGTGTTGGTGTTGTGGAGGGGGCAGAGTGTGTTGGTGTTGGTGGAGGAGGTCAGTGTGTGTTGGTGTTGGGGAGGAGGTCAGTGTGTGTTGGTGTTGTGGAAGGGGCAGTGTGTTGGTGTTGCGGAGGAGGTCAGTGTGTGTGGTGTTGGGGAGGAGGTCAGTGTGTGTGGTGTTGGGGAGGAGGTCAGTGTGTGTTGGTGTTGGGGAGGAGGTCAGTGTGTGGTGTTTGTGTGTGTTGGTGTTTGGGAGGAGGTCAGAGTGTGTTGGTGTTGTGGAAGGGGGCAGAGTGTGTTGGTGTTGTGGAGGGGCAGAGTGTGTTGGTGTTGGGGAGGAGGTCAGTGTGTGTTGGTGTTTGGGAGGAGGTCAGTGTGTGTTGGTGTTGTGGAGGGGCAGAGTGTGTTGGTGGGAGGAGGTCAGTGTGTGTTGGTGTTGGGGAGGAGGTCAGTGTGTGTGGTGTTGTGGAAGGGGCAGAGTGTGTTGGTGTTGGGGAGGGGGCAGTGTGTGTTGGTGTTGTGAGGGGGCAGTGTGTGTTGGTGTTGGGGAGGAGGTCAGTGTGGGTTGGTGTTGTAGAGGGGGCAGTGTGTGTTGGTGTTGTGGAAGGGGGCAGTGTGTGTTGGGGTTGGGGAGGAGGTCAGTGTGTGTTGGTGTTGTGGAGGGGCAGTGTGTGTTGGTGTTGTGGAGGGGGCAGAGTGTGTTGGTGTTGTGAAGGGGTGGGGGGGCAGTGTGTGGGGAGGAGGTCAGTGTGTGTTGGTGTTGTGGAGGGGCAGTGCGTGTTGGTGTTGTGGAGGTGGGGACAGTGTTGTGTTGGTGTTGGGGAGGGGGGCAGAGTGTGTTGGTGTTGTGGAGGGGGCCAGAGTGTGTCGGTGTTGTGGAGGAGGTGGGTGTGTGTTGGTGTTGGGGAGGATGGGTTTTCAGGAGTGCTGGTGGTGGTGGTAGAGAGGAGGAAGGAGTGTTATTCAGTTCACCAACCCTTCACCCAGGTACTCGGGGGTCACCATCAGCAAGGAAAGTAAACATGAACATAATGAAGTGATTTTTTTTCCATTTTTTCTCCTTATTTTGAGGATTTATTATTACATTCGACATAAATCATTATAATTAACACAATTAATGTATAAATCTAGGATGAACTAGAACTGGTTATCATCAGGCAGGTCAGGAAATCAGGAATTATACCAAGGTTGACCTCTTGAACGTAGGGAAGTGGTGTTTTGATGTGCCAGACTAACTTTTCGAGGTGTATTTATTTTTTAGAATATATTATGTAATTAGAAAAAAAAACATTGGGAAGATTAGTTGAAGATTTTGGACACGGGATAAGAGATTGGAAGGATTAGTTAAGATTCTAAACACGTGAATCATTTCTCTCTCTCTTTCTCTCTCTCTCTCTCTCTCTCTCTCTCTCTCTCTCTCTTGACTGAGAATCGACAGGTTTGTTATTTTTCAGTCATAGAACAGAAATAACTGAAGTTCAGCCGTTGAATATGAATTTTTTTTCATATCTTTCGTGTTTTGAACAACCAT